GACGAGCGCCGACCAGATGGGTTAGATGATATCAAAACACAAGCCGGCTTCCAAGCTCTAGGCGCCAATCGATTTGCACTGAGAAGGTCGCATGCGAGCAGCTCAGGATTTGATCCGCGCCGCACAACTCGTCGCGCTCCAGGGCCAATTCGCAGGCGGGATTGGAAGCAAATCGCCAGGAAGCATTTGGAGAACACCAACGTGGTGTTGCATACCGATGGCGCCCGCGCATATAAAATGCGCATTCCTGGGGCCATCCACGACAACGTCGTGCATTGCAAGAAAAAGACCATCATTACAAGAAAAACAATATGGGTGAAACCGAAATACTCGGAGACAAAGAAGCACATCCTTCCTGACGGGCAGAACATCGTCGTTAGAACAAGCACGCAGATCATCGACCGCTTCTGGTCACACTTGAGAACGCACCTGGGCGGGCTCGCGCACAAGGTCAACAACATATCCATGTGGAGACGTGTTCGTTCTGCTCAGTGGACGTACTGGGAGAAAGGCCAGGGCCTGTGGGTGCGTACGGGTGAGATGCTGCGGACTCCTTACTGTTACTTAGCCGCATAGGTACTTTAAGGCGCTGCAAACGCACGTGGAACTTTGCGCGTGATGACAGTTGTGAAAAAATGGCGCAATCTCATATAGTCACTGCGGTAGTGAAGAACCTATCAGGCAAATCACATGGAGTGACAGCATAATTATATATATAATCATTTGAAATTATTATTATGATTTATATATAGATATATATATATATATATATATATATATATATATTATTAAAATGTACATGTAGATACAGCATAAATACGTATGCGAATGCAATGCAGCATACATGCATATATATATATATATATGAATATATATATATATATATAATATATATATATATATTCATATACATATACATATACATATAGATATATATACATATACATATATATATATATATAGCTATATAAATATGCAACTCTATATATACATATATTCATATACTTATATGTGAAGTCAGCAATAGGCACTCGCATATATATATATATGTATATATATATATGTGTATACAATGAGTTGTCCACGTATACATGTATATGTACATATAGAAAATCTTATAAATATGCGTATGAGTAGACACACGTAAAGCTCAAATAAACATAATCATTGGCATACGCATATACACATACATCTACATATGCCTATGCATATACATATACAAACGCAAACTCCAACACCGAATCATAAACAGTTGCATGGACATAAAAACTGATGCAGGTACACACCACACGTATACGTATACATTCACGTAAGCATTTGCAAATGCTTATAAATCTACATTGTTGTACACTATGACAAACATATACATATGCAAATGCATACACATATGCATATGCTATGCACCTATATGTACACGTAAACATATACAAAAATACGTGTGCATTCATATACGTGCGTGCATATAGATATGCGCATGCATGGCATATACACGAATACCTATACATGCACACGCATGTACGCATGCATGTATACATACACACAACTATACACATGCACACAGGACTACATGCAGAACAGTTGTGCTACAACCACGCGCGCGCTTCGGGCGCGCAGGTTCTAGCAAGCTCTGGCTGTATTCTAGCCGATTCGCCAACGGAGAACATATCGTGGACGGCGCGCTCAATTTGACACGCCCCTCGCGGATATGTGGGGCTTCTTGGCCGTCGGAAACCATCCTGGATAGGCTGAAGGCACTAGTGGGGCACCTGGGGGCATCCTCGATGGACCCTAATAGCGGCGCGATGGCGGCGATGCCTCTTTTAGTGGCGGCGCATCCGGGGGGCTTGGCTCAGGGCCCCTACCACTCCGAGACACTTCGCGCCCCGGGGCCCCAACCCCGTCCAGGCTCTGGCCCCCGGTCCCGGCTCCCACTCCCGGCCCCGGCCCTGGTCTCCGATCCTGGGCGGCGGGCGGGCCGCTCAGAATCGGCTAGACGCCCGAGCCCAATAGGCAACGCACGTCGGGCAGCTAAGGAAGATACACTTACGCAACGCCGCGCGGGCGTGCATCCTCAGTGAACCCTGATAAAAGGTGCGATGGCGGCACAATGGAAAAAGGAAGCGACGGTGCTGCCCAATGAACTGGCGGCTGTCCTGGGCGCCTTGGCCTACGGCGCACGCCGCCCCCAGGAACTCGACGCCCCCCGCGCAATGGGAAAGAGACACCAAGAGAGGTGGGGGAGGCCGATCCGGGGCCCCCAGCAGACGCTGCGAGCGTCGGAAGCCCGCCCCCGTCTCCTGAACCCCCCCATAGCCCAAGCGCCCCCACCGCGCCCGAACCCCGCGGGAAGGGCCGCCCGCCCTAGGCGGGCAGCCAGGGCAAGGAAGGGCCGCCTTGGTAGACGGAAGAGGCCAACCTCACCTCTCTCTTGTCCCCCCGTTCCCGATGGCACCACCTCGCCGCCTGCGCCGCAACGATCGCGCGCGCGAAGGCAGCGAGCGCGCCGCCTCGAGGCCCGACCCATCCTCCAGAAGGGCCCCCGCTTCCCGCACTGGACCCCCACCCCCGCCCGCGGCGGAACGGAGCCCCCAGGCAGGATGGCGGCTTCCGCCGTGGAGGCGCCGGCCAGAAGGTGGGTTTCAAGACGATCCTGGTGGCGCGCCAAGCCATGGCCCCTGCGGGCAGGCCTCCGCCCCGACGGGTCGCGCGGAGCGCCACCCCTGCCGACGCGCGCAAATACCTGGCCCGCGCCCGAACGGCACCGTCGGAAACATACTCGAGCGGAGCCGCCACCACAGCTCCAAGCGCTCCCGTCGCCCTCGGCGCCCGCGGCCACCTCGCCAAGCGGGCGTTGCACCCGCGGCGGCCGCCCTCTCCTCGACGATCGCGTCGAAGAGCTCCCGGGCAGTGTGCCTCATCTCAAGTCCGTCGTCTTCACGTTACCGAGGTCGCCCGCCTTCCGGTTCTCCTCGCGCGGGAGCCATGCGGGCCCGCCGCCATCCTGCGCGACCGCAGATCGATGTGCTTCATCAGGAGGACTGTCACTGGCCACTGGGCCAAGGCCCGCGACACAGCGTAGGCGTTCCCCAGGTTGTCCGTCGGCCCCGCCATCTCGAGGCTCGCCATCTGGCGGAGATCCACGGGCCTCATAAACGTATTTATGCTGAGGATCCTGCCGAGGAGCCCTAGCGACGCGATGACACCGTTCGGGTCGACTGCCCTGGACTACACCCCGCGCGCACCAGAAGGCCCCTCGGGCGCGGCCGCCTGGCGGTACCAGACAGCCATCCACCCACAGCAGCGCCCCACCTCTGCCTCCACGCCCGAGCAGAGCCCAGCGATCTCGGTCTCGAGCTTGATGGGCGCGTCCAGCCCGCACCCTCCTGCCAGCCGCTTGACTATCCACGACAGCGCGACCCTGGTCGCCAAGGGCAAGGCGGTCCTCTTCTTGCCTGCCCTACCGGCGCTGCCGACCCAGGCGCAGACGGGCCCCAGGGGCGGCACCTCCCAGACGAGGACCAGCGCCGCGAAGCCCGGGTGCCCCAAGCCCGACACCATCTCACTCCCGCGGAAGGCGCCGCGCCCGACCCTTCTTGGCACTGGCCGCCACCCGCGCCGCCCTCGCCTCCGCGAGTCCCCTGGCGCGGGCATCCAATCCACCTCGAGGCCGCCCCGCGTCTTGGCCGTCTGCGCTGGGAAGCCGAAGGCGCCAAGGAGGCTGACCATGAAGAGGGCCGCCAACCTGCCGCGACGCCCTGAGCCGATCGCTCTCAGGGCGCCGGCGCAAGTGGGCTGCTCCGCGGGCCACGCTGCCCAGCAAGCGGGAGGCTGGAGACCGCCATCACCATGGGGTCGAACAGCCTGGCCCACCACTCCGAGGCGCTGGAGACGCCCAAGGTGCCCACGGTGTTGCAGTACATCTCGCCCCAAAACTCGCAGGCCAGAATGCTGCGCGCCCTTGGCGTCGGTGACGAGCGAGACATTCACTTCGCGCCGGGCTATGGGACAGCTCAAGGGTTCATATAATCCGCGGGCGTCGGCATCCTGCAGCGGATCCTGCATCGGACCGCGCCATCGTGCACGAGTCGTCTTGCCGCTTGCGCTCTCTAACACCCCTAACGTTGCTGTAGTGCAGCTGCCGAGGGAGTAGCGGCGCAACTGCTCCATGGACATCTTGGCCATCCTGCCCGACTTCAGCTCGTCCGCGAAGTGGCAACTGGCCGATCCTGAAGCGGCCCAGTTGGTCGCCTCCTGTTCAAGGCGCCACTTCTCCAGCTCCTCGACGAGTGTTTCCTGCGGGGGCATCTCGCGCAGGGTGCCCGCTCTGACACCGGCCTCCCGCTCCTTCACCAAGTCTGCTTCCCCGCCCTCTGCTTAGCGCAGGAACGCGGCCTGGGGGCGGAGGCGGACGGCCCCCCCGGCTGCGACGTAGCCTAAGACTGCGGCCTGCTCAGCCTTTTGCTCCAAGCCAGCTTTCGAAGACCCTTCTGGCCACCTCCCAGAACCACCTCCTCACGAAGTCGGCTGGATCGCCCAGGTTGTTCCCGACCGAGTGCGCCTGCACTGCCACCTCGTACGGCGCGCGCTCCGCGAACGCCTGGCCAGCTTGCACAAATATCTCGAAGAGTCGGGGTCCCAGTCGGGTCGGCCAAAAAACTTCCGAAGTCCGGGCCCCAGCAGCCAGGCAAAAGAAAGCAACATCGCTCTTCTGCTCGCCATGCTGCGGCTGATGCGCCCGCGTAGCAGCGCAAGTCGCCGTGGCACAAGAGGGCGTTGCCAGCGAGTTGCAAAAGCACTTCGAGGAGGTGTGGCCGCGTCGGAGTCTGTGTCGCGAAGGTCGCGAGAACGCCTTTCCTGCAGCTGCCCTTGGCGAAGAAGGGGTTGCCCCACTTGCTTGGCGAGACCTCGGCGCTACCCCTGCCGGTGCTCTCGCCTCTGCCCATGGGGCCGCCCCCTCTGGCGGGCCCTTCTCGGCGCCCCCGCGCTCCGCGCGGGCGCCACGCAGAAGCCCTCCCACGTCGCTCCCAAACCCCTGACCTGCACCGCGCGCTGATCCACCGAGCAGCCCCAGGCGAACCCTCGCACTCGCGCAACTGCGCGGGCCAAACAAGCCACAGCGCCCGTGGTCTTGAACGCGATGTCGCCCCTCCCGCGCCCTAGCGGGTCGACCCTCGTCGGGCGCGGCGGCAGCGGCCCCAGGCACTGGGCCGTCGCGTCGAACAGCCAACGCCCGCCGCACCCCACACACCGAGCGATGAGGCGCGACGGTTTCGGGCACGGCGCGCCGAAGCTGCGCTGGTGGAGGGCCGCGGGGCGCGCGCAGCCTAGGTCGAGGAGTTCGCCCACACCGTGGTACTGGCAGCTGCCACACGCTGGTGGGGTGCTGCCACACGCTGGACGGCGCCGAGATCCTCGGGCTGCCCTCTGAAGCCTTCTGCCTGGCCGCTGCAGCCTGGCGCCGGCCAGGCGGGAGGCCGAAGACGCCGCCTGGGCCGTGGCTGTGACCGGCGCCTGCAGCGGCCCCAGGCTCGGAGTCCGTGGAAGGGTC